AACAAACCATAAGTTTGTTCTCTATGTCTATGAGATTGCTTCTATTTTGTGGATAAGTTTGTGTCCTTTTTCTAAGATTCCACATATAAGTGATATCATACTGTATTTTTCTTTCTCTTTCTGGCTTATTCACTTAGAATTATGATCTCCAGGTCCATCCATGTTGCTGCAAATTGCATTATTTTATTCTTTTTTATGGTTGAGTATTATTCCAGTGTATATATATCTTCTTTATCCAGTCATCTGCTGATGGACATTTCGGTTGTTTCCTTGTCTTGGCTATTGTATATAGTGCTGCTATGAACATTGGGGTGCATGTGTCTTTTTGAATTACATTTTTCTCTGGATATATGCCCAGAAGTGGGATTGTTGGATCATATGGTAAGTCTATTTTTAGTTTTTTAAGGAACCTACATACTGTCCTCAATAGTGACTGCACCAATTTACATTCCCACCAGCAGTGTAGGAGGGTTCCTTTTTCTCCACACTCTCTTCAGCAGTTATCGTTTGAAGACTTTTTAATGATGGCCATTCAGACTGGTGTGAGGTGATACCTCATTATAGTTTTGATCTGCATTTCTCTAACAATTAGTGATGTTGAGCATCTTTTCATGTGCTTGCTGGCCATCTGTCTTATTTAGAGAGATCTCTCTTTAAGTCTTCTGCCCATTTTTTGATTGGGTTGCTTGTTTTTTGATATTAAGGTGTTTGAGCTGTTTGTATATTTTGGATATTAGTCCCTTGTTGGTAACATCATTTGCAAATATTTTCTCCCATTCTGTAGGTCATCTTTTTGTTTTGTTGGTGGTATCCTTCTTGGCTTTTCCCTCTGCTTTTCTCTTCTCACTGAAGCCTTTCCAGAGCAATGACTCTCATCCTGGAGATGAAGACCTAATCCATTTCTCCAGCCCCGTCCTCTCTTCTGAGCCCTAGTTTTCCTCTGCAGATGCTTGAAACTTGTCCTTTTAAGTTTCTCCATCCTCCCAAATTCAAGTTAATTAAAACTGGCTTATTGTTTCCTTAAAAACAAACAACACACACATCAAACTAACAAGAACAAGAGCATCAAAAGCTTATTCTTCCTTTCTAAAAGTTGTTTTTATTAAAGTCTTAACTGCCAAATGTTTCAAATGGAGCTGCCTGTATTAACACTCTGGTTTCTCACCTCCCACTCACTTTTTGTCCAACAGTAGTTTGGCTTTTATTCCTTCTCCTCTTCCTAAACTACTCTCATCAAGGCCACCAATGCCTTTCACATAATTAAATCCCAACGATGTTTTTTAGGCTTCAGCTTGTTTGTCCAGTAAGCAACTTTCAATCATGTTAACCGCTTCCAGGAAGAGACAACCCCTTTCTCAGTTCTCTCAGACCACATCTTCATCTTTTTTTCCTAACAGTCAACTTCTTAGTCTCCTGGGCCAGCACATCCTCCTCTACTCCACTTATGAACATTGCAGATTTCCAGGCTTGCTCTAAGCCTTGTAAGCCTCTTACTGTAAATATCCTTTCTAATGATTTTCATCCATATTTATGACTCATCTGTTTGCTAGGGACTTCTGGATTTAGATCTGCAGCCTAGACTGTACCTCTGAATGTCAGACCCACAATTTCTACCTTCTGATTTAACATTTCTAATTGGATGTCTCAAAGGAGCATCAAACTCAACTTGTCCAGATATGAACTTATAATTTCCCCTTCCAAACCTGGGCTCATTGTTCAATTTCTTAGGAATACTCTTTCCATCATTTGCCTAGTTAACATCACTTCCTCAGAGAAACCTCCTTGGACTACCCCAGCTCACCCAGGGATCCTTGTGATCCATACTCATAGCTTTCTCCATTTCCCTTTATATGCCCTGTCAGAGTTCACAATTATATGTTTGTTATTTGATTATGATTAATATATTGGTTACTTGATTAATGTCAATCTTCATCTCAAACGTGTGGATGTATATGTATATGTAAGATTATGTGTATAATATATACATATATAATATGTATATATGTCCATATATTTAGACTGTTTATTTATACAAACATATAACTAATAGATTTATTTATTGGTTATTTCATATCTATCTATCTTTGTCTGAAGATTGCAAGCTCCACTGAACTCCCATGGACTTTCACAGTGTATGGCAACTAGTGTACCCTGAATAAGTATTTGTTAAAAGAATCCACTTATTAAAATAAATTAGTGGTAGAGCATTTTCTCTGGCATCTAACCTTTAAGTCATGACATCTCTGTTTTTTCCTTCAACCTCACACTATATATCCAGCCATTATAAAGTGCCTTTGAAATAAAACATCTCTCCTGGTCCTTTTCTTCCTATTTATGTTGCTACCATACTGGTCTAGGTCCTAATCACTTTGTGTTTAATCTACTGCAAGTCAAACTTTGGACCCTGTTCCTCTAATCCATTCTTTATAATACTATGAGATTTAACATCTAAGAATCATGCTTTGTGCCTGGTATTCTCTCATTCAAAAATTTTTCAACACTTCTAGTTAATTACCAAATAAACGTCCACATTTCTTAGCTTGGATATAGCTCAATACTCCCTGGGACATGTAGGCTCTATCCTCATTGTCCTTTTAGAGTAGTTTGTACAGTGTAGTACCTTTGATGCCACTGTTCCTCTTCCTGGAATCCAGTGTCCCCTCTCTCCCACCACAACCGCAGTACATATGCACACACTACTCCATACTTAATGAAATTATACTCAGACATCAAAGCCAGCCTTCTGTGAAATTTTCCTCAATTACTCAGCTAAAAATATTCTCTCCCTCCTATGACACTTAGTGTCTGTACCACACAATACAAGATATTACATTATGATTTTTTCAAAAGCTTGTGTGTATGTGTGAGTCTTGTAGCCTGCCAGTTAGATTTTAAGTTCCCTCAGGGTAGAAAATGTCATCTACTTTATTTCCTAGTGCCCAGAATCACAGTAGGTGACAACACACTTTGTGTTGATTTTAGCAGTAGAATAATGACAGGGGACAGAGGCAAATAAGAGGTCATTATTATGATGCTGTACTTTAAAAATTATCATTATTAGTACTAGTAATAAAAATATTTGTAACAAATGTATATTTCTTTATACTATTCCAAAGACTTTCTAATTAGTCATTTCATTAGAGTTCCATGGGGGACTAGCTTAAGACTAATAATAAGAGAATTGAAACATCCTTCTCTTCCAATTCATGGAAATTAATTAAAAACCCATATCTTATGATACCTAAGTCAGAAATAACAGTGTTGCTTATTTTTATTGTTTAATATTGAGAGAGGTATAAGAGGAGCTTGTAAATAAGTTTGGGGAACTGATGAACATGTAGAGATGGACACAGTTTACACTGGTGTTCATGCTGATTGTAAGATTCGAAACTCACCCTAAATCTTTAAATATCCTTCAAATCTGAATGTTCTAGGAGGAAAAGAGATTGTAGGTAAAGTACATAAATCAGATTCTAAATTTCAAAATAGGGAGAATAGAAGAGACAGAGAGACAGCCTAGAGAGAATGGGAGAGAGGGAGATAAATACAGATTTCCCCTGAGTTTTAGCAAACTCTTTGGACTAGTGTCATAAAATTAAATAGCTCTAATAAAAATGTTTTAAGACTACATGAAAATGAGTCCCTTTGCTCAAATCAAACCAGTTCAAGAAAATTTAGCCCCTTTAAAGTTGACCTCATTAATTTCATGATCTTTGGATGGCACATAGCACCCCAACTGTGCAGATTAGTTTGTGTCTTTGAAACCTACCGGCATCATATATCTCTGAATATTAAAAAAAAAATACAGCATAGAACTCTGAACTTGTGTAATTAAAATTCAGGCGCTTGTTCAAACAACTCTTGCATGTGAGCTATAAATAATCATTTGAGGAAAAACTTTAAAAATGAAATAGGTATAATATAGGGCAGTAATCAAGCATTTCTTTGTTAGAGATGTTGTTCCTAAAGGTGGGGAGTGAGGAATGTTCCCTGTAAGTCGCTGGGCATGGATGTCCCTTGACATCGACAATCCACAGAGTAACAAACATCCCCAAAACCAGGATCAGTCAATGTCAATTAATCCTCCTATATTTCCCATAAGCAAAAATTGGCAGTTTCTGCTGCGTTATTTTGACAGAGCAGTAATAGGTGGATATTTGCTGCCACCCGCTGAGTTGCCCCAGCTTGATTAATGCTACATCTGTATCCCTTATTGATAAGATGAGAGTTCATTCCAGATCTATAGACATTTCCTATATATATAAACTCATATTCATTTTCACAATTATTGTACAATAGGCAACTTACATTACTAGACAATAGTTACACATGCCATATAGTTTTAATTGAACCATTTTGTGGGCAGTTTTAAAACATGCTCATCAGGAAGAATGATATAACAAAAGGCAGATTTATAATCTCTGGTACCAGACTACTTGGGGCACATCAAATTGTAAGGCAGATTTTCCTTTTCATTTCTGGAATGGGTTTGGATATTTTTTGCCCACCATATGTTGGATGTAAAACTAGAAACCAGCAAGAAATGTAAACATCCCTCATGATTAGAGGTTTAAAAATTTTTGGTAGCCCTCTGATTTATTTTGCTGGAGAAGTAATTCCACTCTACTGAGCAGTACATCCCTTATAACCATATGAAGTACAATTTGACTGCCTGGACTTATTCCCCTCTGATGATTCCTGTGCTCTGTGAATGATTACAGAAATGAGCAAATAGATTTGGCATGTGTGGAATAATGATGTAAGGGTTCAACCACCAAGCTATGGCCTCAGATGTATATATCAAAGTCAGACAGTTTTCTGCCAACAACTGTATCGTTAGAGTCTTGCCTTCTCCTCTCAGGAATGCATCCTATGTAAAAATTTCCTGATTCATATGGAAGGTCTAATTTTGAGGCTACAGGGTCTTTTTTTTTTTGAGATAGAAAAGCCATCAAATTGTGTTTACAGGTGTGTATGATGATAATCTAGTATTGTGACCCCATATAGAACAAATCCAACTTGTCTGCAGGTGTAGGAAGCTATTTAATTTATTTTATTTCTTAACTGTTAGGTAAACAGGTGACTGGAAGCACTTCTCATTAACTGAAAGAAAGAACTCCAGGCACAGGCTTGGCACCGTGCTAAATGTCCTTATATGTTGAGAGGCATTAAATACTTTTTTTCAAGCAAAC